TCTGCTATAAATGCTGCAATAAAGATCATTTAAATGACAAAATTCTGCTATAAATGCTGCAATAAAGATAATTTAAATGAATAAAATCTGCCATAAATGCTGGAATAAAGACACGTGTTCCAGCAGGTGAAACACATTTGAGCTGTTTGTCTGAAACATGTCGCTTACATGTAACTGCTTCAGTCTCGGCTGATTTGTGGAGAGAATCGGCTTTCGTCTCTTCACCTTCCTCTTTATCGGTAATCTTTGTCTTTACACAAAACCCCAGTGAGTTTCTCGCCCTATCAGAGCTCTGTGTCAGTTTCCATCTGAGGTTGCATCAACTTTGCATCAACTATTTTCCAATATTTCATTAAATCTAGAATAAGTAATAAAGGAATTAATGATTACTTTGGTTTTCAACTTACTATCTGATACATGAGAGGTGCAGAAGTAAGACTAGACAAACATTTCCTGAACCAACAATGAGGAAATAGTTCTTGTTGGAACTTTCTTTGATAAAGTCAGAGTAAAAAGCCTGAACTCCAGTTTTGATTGAATGTAGGGTCAATAGGAACATACAGCCACACAGTAATTACCCAAAGCTAAAGACAGAAATGTGAATTCTTTGCTCATATATAGAGCAGTTTTAAATGTCCACGAATGAAAAGAATAGATGAAACAAACACATATAGGCTATCAAATCTATGTGTGATAGAGAGATGACATCATTGGTTTCCCACATCCACCATCCACCTTCTGACAGTGAAAAAAAATCCAATATTTATATCTGCTATACGTTGTTTCAAAAAGCTCTTCGTTCTTGTTTTCCCAGATTTGTGCCTGAATAGAGGGATGAGATGATGAAAACCCAAGTATTTAGAAATAAAATGACCAGTGAAGAGCTTATCTGTGAGTTTTGTGAGGGGAACAGAGGTGAAAACAAGGCTGAAAACAGGCTCACGCACTTCATTTGTGGAGTATTTGAACCAAACCATGTCAGATATTTCATCAAGACCTTTCAAAATTGTGTCAACTGCCGTGTCTCATGTGTTTTTAGGTCGGGGTTCACTTTTGCTTTCAGAATTTCCTTCATTCTTTGTGGCATCATCATCAATTCATGTTTGGCATAGTTTTTGTCGATGTGAAGTAAAAGTTTTGTGTTTCTTTGTTTATGTTGTTTAATTTTCTTTTAGAGACGGACCGGTTGAGTTGTGATTTTGGACATTTTTGATTTTCAATTTGAGTGCTGCATGGTGACGGTCTGAATAGTTTCCTCCTTTTGTGCAAAAGCTGTCTCGTTGCCACCACAGAACCTCCAGCATATTAAACAGCTTCTTGTTTTAATGTCGCTAACGGCAGACTTGGTTTGCTCCTTTCAGCGTTTGAGCAACAGACAGCTCCAACATGTTCAGGAGGGTAAAGAACAGTGGTTATCTGATCTAATTTACTGGAATTAAAATACGTTTTTCTTCAATACAATGCCAAATTAAAAGACGATTCATTCTGTGTGGGGGAAATCAATATATTTACTGTATAATCGATTTCGTCACTGGTAACTTTCCACAAGTGAATATTTTAAAGGTTCTTTTTCTTTCTCATGGGCTCTTTCCTCCTTCAAGGTCTCAGAGAATGTCTCCTTATACTTTATCGCTTAAAGTCTTGGCTTGAGGATTGTTTGGTACAGGTTCCTTTATGATGGGAGAGAGACTTTACCCCTAATCTTAGACTCAGACAGAGGTACAAAATGTACTATGATTTTTTTTTCACTTTGGAGTGACTCGATATGTTGTATGAACATGCTGGCTGCTCCAACTTCATAAAGTTTTTTCTCAAATTTTCTATTTCCCATGTTTTTTATTTATTTAATTCAAGTAAAAAGCGAAATTGGAAAAATCATAATGCAGAAAATAATAATTTACTTTATCCATCCCATTCCTTTAATCTGCATTTTTCTTTGTTGAATTGGGGTTTAGAGTAAGTAATACTATTTTTCCCCCAGTTGCACATGATGCAACCTGAAAACGTCAATCATTTTAGGAAAAGAAAATGGCAGTTTTGTTTATGGACTCAAATTACAATATAATCTCAGAGGCTTTGTCTCTTCAGAGGACAGCCATCATGAAGCATTAATAATTCACATGTTTATCTTTTTTTCCACTGTGCCAGTCTACAGAGGGACAATTAAAACTTGTTTTTAGTTCTGTGGAGTTTATCACAAATACAAGGAAAAACAAGTCACCTATGCTAAAGTTTGGAAAGCAACCTTAAATCTAGCAAAGATTCTTGACCAAAATTTAATTAATAACAACAGATAAAGGAATGATATTTTTAAGTGGTTTGCAATTGCACAAAAATCCTCCAAAACTATGCTCTGGTTCAGAATTAATTAAGTTAATCACGAGACAAAAAAGACCAAAATACCTTTTAAAAACTATCAAAACATCCAATGTCAGGACAACATGAAACAAGGAAAATCTAGTTGTCTGAATAAAATAACAAAACCATGAATTGTATACAAAAGGCTTATTCATTTAAGGATAAACCCTAAGACTTTTAGCAAGAAATTAACATGTTTTGTGTTTAGTCTCTAGTACCAACATGTCGGGGGTTAACGCAAAAATCTAAAGTGTTTCTTGAAAAAAACAGAGGACTCTTAAAGAGAAACTGAAGAGGACGTGATCCTAAAGAACAGGCCGATTTCAGGATGAGTAGGAAAAAACCAAACGCCTCATCCATTCTGGGATTTCAGATAAAGCCGTGCTGAGCTGAGGCCGTCTAAAATAAGGAACATAACAGACTGTACTTTTGGAAGCTTTAATCCTTTGATGTCTGAACCAAGATGTTATATATCTTTTTTAGGTCTGTGTTGGGGGAGTGCTAGCTGCTTTGCGGCCATCTGGTGGGGGAGCAGTTAACACAAAATCAACACTGAAAAAAAGGAAGAGGGTTGGTTCTTTGCTGTGGACCACATTGAGGACATTGGACAGCTCAAAGAAAAAAAAGCTGGATCCCTTAGGGCTCCATAACACATTTTTCTTAATTCATTTTACTGTGAGGGGACAGGTGGACCCACACCGTACACACATTAAACACAGAGGCAGCTAATTAGTGTTGGCGGCATCCATCTTTAATCATCATTTAATTTAAACATCACAAGCACACATGGACAGTGATGCAATCACTCAAAAATAACCAAGGATGGCATTATATTTCAGAAAAATGTTGAAAAAGAACATTATAAAGGAACAGTACAATCAATTTAAAATGTTTGAAAATAAAAGTAAGGCAAAGCTTAGAGGCAGAATATCTACATAACAAAAGCAACATGGTAATAATAATGATAATAATAATAATAATAATAATAATAGGTATATTTTCCTTAACTTGCCATTATTCTAAGCAATGATGTCAATGAATCTTGAAACATTTCTTCTACAGTTGCTGGCGATCCTCAGACAGGATATTAACTGTAAAAGATACAGAAAAGAAAACGATGAATTCTCCATCTTGTGTTTTAGTGTCTGTGAGCTTTATTTTGAGACTTTTTAAAGTGAAACTTTATAAGGACGCCTAACCCAAATAAACAAAAACATCATAATCTGACTCACCACAGAAATCCCTCCTTGAACTCAGTGAATTTGTGCCGGACCATAAATGTCGCTAAAGCATCTGCTACCTGGGGATTCACGTCAGAAGATAAAGGTTATTGTGTGTGTGTGTGTGTGTGTGTGTGTGTGTGTTTGTGTGTGTGTGTGTGTGTACAGCTAAGAAAACCTACTTTTTCGGGGGCGTCCTCGTGCACGGCGTGACCGCACTGAGGCAGGACCTGCATCTGAAACTTCCCTGTGGACACACGGAGCCACTTTGTTAGAAACCTCGTTTGTTGTGCGGGCGTACATGACAAAGATGAAAAAAAGAAGAACCTATTAAAAGCTAGATTTAGCTTTTTGACCTTGCATCTGTCCAATAGTGAGGTCTTTGTCAAGTCTGTCCACCCCTGTGGAGAGGAAAGAGTCAGAGGTGAGGTCAGAAGCTCGGACTATGACGTGTCACATATACAGGACTGTCTCAGACAATTAGAATATTGTGATAGAGTTCTTTATTTTCTGTAATGCAATTAAAAATCATGAAATGTCATACATTCTGGATTCATTACAAATCAACTGAAATATCGCAAGCCTTTTATTGTTTTAATATCGCTGATTATGGCGTACAGCTGAAGAAAACTCAAAAATCCGATATTCTAATATTTTGAGATAGGATATTTGGGTTTCTTAAGCTGTAAGCCATAATCAGCGATATCTTGGGATATTTCAGTTGATTTGTAATGAATCCAGAATGTATGACATTTCATGTTTTTTAATTGCATTACAGAAAATAAAGAACTTTATCAAAATATTCCAATTTTCTGAGACAGTCCTGTAAAAAAAGTCTACAATGAAAATCAGACCTGCGAGCAGGAGCAGTTTGGGGACGGGGCAGGTGAGGAAGAGGGCAGAGAGGCCTCTAAACCAGCCATCCCAGTACTTCTCTGTCTTCGACAGCTCCACTCGCCAGGTGAAAAAGCTCTCCTTTTTGATCTAGACGTAAAAGAAACGACTCTTTTTCAGATTTCGGCAAATCGAAGGTAACAGGCACAGGGAAAGATGAGGAGAGTCAGAAAACGGAACCTCTTGGTCATCTTCCTTCATTCTTTTCTTGTTGGACTGTTCCTCCGCTTCTTCCTCCTCCTCCTCTTCGATGATGCCCTCGCCGACGCTGATGGAGACGCTGGGACTGCTGGTGGTCTGGTCACATCTGAGAGAAGAACAAAGAGAAACACACTCAGTATAAATCACAACCATAGATGTTTCAGCAGGGGATAACGAGCTCGTACTTCTTCACTTGGCCTCCCATCGACACCCGTGCCGACTCCAGGTTCCGAATCTGCCCGCTCTTCATGCTGTAAAACACAGGAAGAGAACTGTAGCCACCAAATAAAACCGGGCCACGTATACAAAGACCCTCAAATAAAACCCAGAGGAGCACAAAGTTCAAATACAGTTCAAACATCACCGAGTGTGTGAGATTTACCTCCACTCGATGGCATTCTCCAGAGATTTAAACGTCTTTGGCCGACTCCTGAGGAAATTCTGCATACTGTTCAAAGCATCCATTGCTGTTCCTGAATTGAATCATTGAAATCCTCCATCACTGATACGCCCAGTAATACTGAGCCCCTCATTAGCGTAGTGAGAATCATTAATACGCCCAGTATTACTGAGTGATGGTGAGAAAACTAGCAGATTTATCAATGAAAGCCCAAACCGTGAGCTGCAATGAGATGGATGCAAATATTTACCTTCTACAACGTCGATGACGCAGAGGCCGAGCAGCGACGGGACGTGATTGGCGTTAGCTGTGTGGACGGCGATGGCCCCGCCCATGCTGTGTCCAATAATCATTATTGGAGGTGGGTTCTCTCCATAGAGAACCTCCACCACCTTGCCAACATCCCTTTGAAAAAAAGAGCAATTTTTTTTATTTCTATAAATCTAGTATCTGATATAAATGATTAATTACAAAAGAAATCTATGGAGACTAAACGAATACTAATTGACATAAACGTATCAAATATTTGCATGAACGTTAAGATTTGATCTAATTATGGACTCAAGTTAACATTTCTTTGATTGTAGCTTTACTAGATGTAATTTTTTTCCAAAACAGAAAGTATCTCCAACAAAACAAAAAAAATCCTCTACCACAAACTTACTTTGCCATGGTGTCTGCAGAGAGGTCTTCTGGATTTCTCACTTTGGTGTCACCTGCAAGTTATGAAAGAGGAACTTCAGAACTGTTCTCTTGTTCCCACGAGGGCTCGATCCAAAAAAAATGTGGCTCCTACTGATCAGCCAGATTTCTACGAGAGTTTTTCTTTGGATATTGTGTCCCTGCTGTTAACACGTCCAATTTTATTTTCAAACAAGAACAGCCGACACAGGTTTAGAAATTCTAGACCTCTGATTTTTGGAAAGGGAGCCACACAATGTGGATCTTGTAGAAATTCATGTGACTGGAGCCACAAACTCAACAATAAAATGTAATTTTTGCTGTAAAGTCTGTTGTTTACAGTAAGAAATGACAGGTTGGACAGTCAAACATAAAATAAAATCTGTAAGCTCAGAGAAGTGGGCGGCAGGAATTCATTTATAGCAGCTTCATTACCCACAGAACTGCTCCCTCACCAGCTGAACAGGGGCTGACGCTCATCACTGCTGCCAACACAGACCTAAATTTAACAGAACTTACTGTTGCTTTTTTTTTTTTTCTCCTTTGAACAGCTCCAGACGGTGACCGCTTAGTCACCAGCGCCTCTTTTAGCACATGGTTAACAGAAGTAGAATTGAAAGGAAAAGGGAAAAATCTGTCTTCTATTCTTTTTTAAAACATTTTTTTTTACACTGCAGTGGTATATCTTAAGAAACTCTATAGAGGGGTGTGAACATCAGGGGTGTATCTGGGTGTACTGTGTGAAGACTCAAGAGCTATTATCAGCTCAGATTCATCATCAGAATCTCCAGTTGAAACAAAACCGTGCTGGTTATCATCTCAGAGCAGCACATTATGACTCTAGTGTTAGTTAGGAAACAGGTAGGAACTCCATTGGAGATGGATCTGTCATGCAATTTCTAGTAAAGATACTAGAAATTAATGTTCACTTCTTCTTTCAGTCAAACGTTTGAGCAGGGTTTGCTGACACAGCAACAAGTCAATTCATCCCATAAAAAAACAAAACAACACAAAAAAGCCTATCTGGAAAACAAACTAAAAGAGGCGATGTGTGCTTCCCACAGGAAGTAAAACTGTAAATGTAACATCTTTAGTGTACCATAAATGCTGCTATTGCCACTCACCATGAGCTCGAAGGTCCATAGCCACCACCCTGCAGTTGATCCGGCTGCTTATGACAGCCTGTAACAGAATACACGTTTCATAAATATTTCAGATTATGCCAATGTGTGTTTCATGCACACAAAAAAAAAAGGTACTAACAGAATAAACGTTTTTTATAAATATTTCCGATTACGCCAATGTGTGTTTCATGCATAGTAAATAAAAGAGTGAAGAAATAGCAGGTGATGTGGGGAGTAGTTACGGTAAAGACAGCCCAGGAAAGTGCGGAGTGGCCTCCTCCGTGAAGCAGGAGCAGCACAGGCCCGTGGGAACCACTGCAGTAAAGTCTGAAAATGTTCTGGGTAGTTAAGGAGGGTAATAATAATAATGATGTTATATGTTCCAGAAAAAAATACAATCATCTTATATCACTGAGGTACAACCAGATTGGAAGTTTGTCATAAGAAAACATGTTTCTCCATAGGACTAAAACTAAGCCAGAAAGAACATAGCAAATTTAAAACTGTGCTGATTTACGTTTCTTTCATTAGACACAACTGCTAAGGAAAAAAAAAAACAATAAAGGAAACTTGGTAACAAACGTATACTGACTTCCCAATAAATAATAAAAACAGCAGTCAAGGATATATCTTTGCCGTTTTCATTCTCCACCTCAACATCTTCCATGGTTTCAAAGTACTGACTCCAGGGCAGGGGGGTGAAATCTCTTTTTCGTCCAGGCCTGCGTAAAACACATGCAAGCAGCATTTAAAGGCATTCAGTGTCAGTCGAGACTCCCAAAAAAATTAATTATTTTGTTTTTATGGTGTACTTATATCTCTTTCAGGGCAGGATGTGAGACATTCCCCACGGCTCTTTATAAGACCTGTAGGTGATTTTTCCTTTATTTCTAATTTACAACAGTGATATAATGCCCAGCCTGCCGGCTATGTGAATAATCCAAACCCACAAACAAAAAGCCAAGGTAATATTTTCAAGTTTTGTTGGCTAAATTGAAACATGAAGCATGCTTTGGCATAGCAATAAATATATGTTAGCAGTTCTCCTTGTTTTCACTGTAAAAAAACAAAACAAAAACAAAAAAACACAATATAAACTGTCCGTACAACTATGTAATTAATACCTTATTGGCTCAATATCATTGATATTTGAACACTCTAATGCTCAACACAAACTCTTAATAAATGAGCTGTACTATATTCTAATAACAAAGGGGATCTAAACCCTGGTAGCAGCAACAGCTAACCTCACCTGCCAAACCCCATTTATTCGTTTTAATATAAGAAAAACCCAAATTATAACAGTACAGTATTTGGCTTTAGTCAGAGGAACAAACTGATATTACGGTAGTTAAAATGTGTTGAGGCATTAAAAAAGCCGACACATTTGACAGACAACCAATTAAAAGCTAGCTAACTCACCCCATTTTCATTTTGGAGCCTGACTGAAAACCACCTGCCACAGGAGGTCTAGAGGCCAGGAGGTTCAAATGCAACTGTTTCTCCATGTTGTTAAAAGAGGTTTCGGTTGCGGTCTGGAAATGTTTACTTTGACCTTCCGACCTGTCCCCACATAAGATTTTCCTCTTCACTGGCGCCGAGGTTAGCCACACATTTGATAAATTGCACTATATAGCTAAACGCTAGCGTTCTTTTTTCTTCTTCTTTTTTTTTTTCTAGGAGCATCTTTTCTTCTTCGGTGCTTTTTTTCCTGTCTGAATGTCCTACGTAGGCACTTTAAAAGCTTTATTGCCACCTTGTGGTTAGAAAAGGTAACTGTAGGTTTACAACTCAATGACGTAATGGTTTTTGGTCATCTTGATCATTTTTAATGTTCCGTGCACTACATGCTGACTCAAAAATATTTGATTCTGTTTGATATTAATATATCATAACATAATGATACTATTTTTATAAAACACTGAAAACAATTGGCACAAATGATTGCATAAATATAGATGTATTTTTTTAAATAGTTTTATGCAATATAAACGTGTATTGATATAAATCACTATTGAATATTGAATTTATATTAAAATGATTTCTAAAAAACTCTAAATATTTAAAATAACAACGCAGTAATCGGGCATTAATTGTCAACAACATAACCATAAAGTGGAGCTAAGACTTGGATGTTAAAATTCAGTCACATACAGACAGCACTTTTATGGCCTTTTTGTCTGATTAAAAAACAAATCGATTTTTTTTTAATCAGACAAGTTGTAATTTGTGTTTTTTAAAGAATAAACATTGTGTCATGATCAATGATCATATTATCTAACGACAATTCTTGTTTATATATTTTTTTATTTATATATATTGCTCCCCCATTAGTTTAATGAGCTAATCAAAGTAATTTAGTACTATACAACATCACTTTTTATAAAGAAAAAGGAGAAAGCACAGACAATGGCCAAGTATCAGCATTTTGCAGACTGCTGAGTCATCTTAGAGGCTTCATTTAGAGGCTTCTCCTGTCTCAGTGAAACATTTTTCTCTAAAATAATCAGGCCCTAAATTTATTTGAATGCAGCTGAACATAAAAAAACAGATGTAGCAGAAAGTAAAACATTTAAATTGAACAAAGAATTGGTTTGCAGTGCATTTTAACAACCACACAAAGACTCCAGAACAGACCAAGCTTCAAAAAGATACTGTCTTCAGAACTACTGCAGATGATATGATGAACTGACCTGTGTATATATGTTGTATATTTCTACTCTTGTTTATGTTCTTATTATTTCCTACAGTGATTTTTTTAATTCTTTTATTTATATTTTTTTTATGATTTGTTCATAATATAATGTAATTTTTTCATGTAAGGACCCCAGGAAGACTGGTGGCCATTTATTTGGCAGCTAATGGGGATCCTAATAAAACTAATAAATAAAAAAAAAACGAAACTAACACCTTTCTTTAAATAAAACGAGAACAATAGAACATTTTTCTGATGGATTTGAACTGTGGGTCAGGGAAACAGACGGGCAGCACCAGAGCCCTGTGCTCCACTGCCCTTTCAGTGACGCAGAGGCTCTATTTGCGGCGTTATGGTCTTTATTTATAGTGTAATGGAGATTATCGGCCGCATAGCACCGAACGAGGGGCTGGCGGTATTGGAAGTGCAAGCGGTGCAGGGTGGTGATAGCCGTGTGCAAGGGTCCCCGTCTCGCTTTCAGAGGATGCAGGGGAGGTCAGGGCGAGCTGGCTGAAGCCGGTCCGGTGAGGTGTTTACTGGCCCGCCTGTGTGTGCAAAGGTTACTCACACTGTGTTCTCAAGAAACTGTTTTCAGAAACAGGCCGCCACCGGGCCTTCCCTTTGACTCTCATAGATCTGATCAAAACGACACTTTTCTATACTGTCTGTGTCAATTTTTCTTTCTTTCTTTCGTTCATTAATTCAGATTTTGCTCCATGCTTTATTCGTGTATAGAGGAAATCCCACAAATATCAGGAATAGTCCATGACGCATCAGAAAAACATGTTTTTTAGACTATCTCTGAACACAACTTGATTCATGGAGGGGATGGATTAGATGATATTTAAAGGGTGTTTTGCTTTGACATATGTCTTCCAGTATCATCGCCTGTTATTGGGAAGCCATGTACCTACAACCCCCCCCCCCCCCCCCATGTTAAGGCTGTCCCTCTGCTGGGTGCTGCTAATTTGCCCAGATGGATAATCTGAGTGATTTCACTCCGAGGCTGAGGGGAATCCACCCACTGTTGTTCGTCTTAGGGATTGGCTGAGAGGCCCGGCCCGCTCCTTTTCTCCTTTAGTCTGGAACGCTTTGTGCCTCCGGTTGCAGGGAGGAGTAATGAGAGGATTCCTAGAACTCCTGACAAGGGCTTGAATTTTTTACGTGGGGCATTAACCCGGTGGATAAAATGTGTACTGCAAATGTTCCTCTGCACAGCACAGCGGCGTGCCCCATCAAAACATTTAGAGAAACCCGCACACACCTCTCTGTCCCATTGGCTGTTTACGTGAACCAATAGCAAAAATGGGGTACACTCTGTGATGTCAGAGAAGTAACTCGAGCTGGCGTGTGTGTGTGTGTGTGTGTGTGTGTGTGTTTGTGTGTGTGTGTGTGTGCGCAGTTAAGGTCGAAATCCTCCGGAAAAACTCATCCCCTGAATCCCAAACTGACACGCATTCGTTAGATTTTCCGGAAGCCGTAAATGACCCTGAAATGTGGCACGAAATTGGCAAAGCGAATAGGGTCTAAAAATGTTTTCGAGTGCCAGACCCCCGGTGGTGACGGCAACAGGAACAGATCAACAAGTGCTCAAGTGTCCAGCTGTGTCACAAACTGGAAAACATGATATTCATGTGACAGGTGTGTACGACTTGTTCGACTGCCCTGGAGTCATGTGCAGAAGGTGTCTATATATTCAGGGGCTTCTTGGTTAGCAGGGCAGTTTCTCACAGCATGAGGAGAGGAGGCCAGAAGGACTAACGGTGCACAGGACTGTATGCTCTTCCCTCTTTGTTGGATTATTACAGTTTGAAAACTACCAAAGGTAACTCCCATTGTTTGAAATTGTGGCAATTCCGCAAATCTGAATGATGTCACAGGAAGAAACTCTAATTGAATGTTGAGTTTTGAAGTTTTGACGTTTTCACTGGTACATAACTCATGTAATTATATATCAATTCCATGTAAGAGGAGACAAATAAAGATCAGTGTTTGCTTTTTCAGTGACTGGTGGCATGCTGGCCGGTTCCCTGAAGACACAGTTTATGACCAAAGACATTTCTATGACAGAACCACTTCCAAAGACTAAGCTTCTTCTTGAAAAAACCTGAAACTCGTCCTCGTCCTCAATTACAGGTATGCTCAACCCCTCGAAATCTGTTTGCTTATCTGCCAAGGAAAGATCTGCTCTGGTATCTATTCGGAGGGTTGTGAAATGTCAAATAGCAATAAGGCCAAATTCTTCCACTTGTGCCACCAGCCCCAGACGTAAAAATGGTTGGCATGAAACCCACCGAGGCGGTGCCCTCCGCGGCGGTTAAGTTCTTCGGGGCGGGCCTGGCCGCCTGCATCGCTGACCTCATCACCTTCCCTCTGGACACGGCCAAAGTCCGGCTGCAGGTTGGGACCCGGAACGAGACAAAAATAACTTCAGATCCCGCTCTTAGCTATTCACGAGACGCCGACAGTCCTTTTTGACGTCTACCATATTTGTCCAGATTCAAGGAGAGGCTCATAAACTCGAAGGGGCGGTGAGGTACAAAGGCGTGTTCGGTACCATGGCGACCATGGTGCGCACCGAGGGCCCCGGCAGCCTCTACAACGGGCTGGTGGCCGGACTCCAGCGCCAGATGAGCTTCGCCTCGGTCCGAATCGGCCTTTATGATTCCATGAAACAGTTCTACACCCGAGGCACAGACAGTGAGTTTCACGCCTTCGTATTTGCACGTGAACACAAAGGTTTTTGTTTCGTTTGGCTGCTTCAAGGTAGTGTTAACCCGATTCTTTAGTTGGAAACCTGAGAATCAAAAGTGTAAAAAATGACATTTATTAGGTTACAGGCAAAGTAAATCAGCTGGGCTCTTCACAGAAAAAACCTCTCTCTGGGTCTCAGTGGGCAAAGAGCCCTGAGATCTGGGTGTGATGGGCATTATCTCCTGGGTCCTATTGGACCAAGTCCTATTGGCCAGTTACCTCTGGGCATAAACAGGCCAGGTCCTAATTCACGCAGGTAACATTGGAATGTGGTAACAAATGGTGTGTGTTTGTGTTGACCTAAAGACGTGGATCTAATATAGAAAAAGAAATAGATAGAAATAAAAAGAGAGAAAAGAGAGTCTGTGGACACAGCCAGAGACTTCAACACAAAATATAGTTATATCATGTGATAGCATACAATGCTAAAGTGAGTCATTATAGCCAAATTCTAACAAAAGACTCCCTCCTACTCTCTGTAGACGCTGGGATTGTGGTTCGACTCATGGCGGGCTGCACCACCGGCGCCATGGCGGTGACTTTCGCCCAGCCCACAGACGTGGTCAAAGTGCGTTTCCAGGCCCAGGTGCGTCTGGCCGAAGGCGAGAGGAGGTACAGCAGCACGCTGGACGCATACAGGACCATCGCCAGAGACGAGGGCGTGCGGGGACTCTGGAGAGGTGCTCTTCCATTTTTCAGCTCAGATTCTGTTGGGTTGGGTAAATTGTCTCCACACTCTTGGAAATAATGACTCTCTACTCTCTGATCTCTTACAGGCTGCATGCCAAACATCACCCGCAACGTCATCGTTAACTGCTCAGAGCTGGTCACGTACGACATCATCAAAGAGCTGATCCTGAAGTACGACCTGATGACAGGTGAGAGTGTTAGCCAGATTCTTTAGTTGGAAACCAGACTGGATCAAAAGTATAAAAAAATTACATTTATTGGGTCAAAGGCAAAGTATATCAGCTGGGCTCTAACAGACAAAATCTGGACACAAAAAAAGGACTGGACACAACCAAGTCCTATTGGCCAATTACCTCTGGGCATGAACAGGCCAGGTCCTAATTCATGTAGATGACACTGGAATGTGGTAACAAATGGTGTGTGTTTGTGGTGAATTAGAGGGTGGATCTAATGCAACAGAAAAAGAAACAGAGAGGAGAGATTCCGTGGTCACAGGCAAAGATTTTAGCACAAAAATATAGTTATAAAAGAAAATAAAACAATCAGTAATTTACATAGATCATTTGATAGCATATGATGCTAAAATTAGTCATTTTAGCCAAATTCTAACAAGAGACAAAGCTTAAGATGTCGGTACAAAGGAAAACATCCCCTTTTCAGAATCAGAATCAGAATCAGAATTAGGTTTATTGCCAAGTAGGTTTACACATACAAGGAATTTGCTTTGGTGAAAGCACCGAGGCAGCCATTTTCGGCGCCAAAATGTTATTTTATGTCACGGATAGGGAAAAAATGCGTTTCTCTTGGCGTGACTGTGCTCCCTCTAACCCGCAGACACCCTGCCGTGCCACTTCACGGCGGCCTTCGGGGCGGGTTTCTGCACCACGGTGGTGGCTTCTCCCGTGGACGTGGTGAAGACGCGCTACATGAACTCCCTCCCCGGCCAGTACACCAGCGCCATGAACTGTGCGCTCACCATGCTGGCCAACGAAGGATCCTCAGCTTTCTACAAGGGGTAAGTGACCACTATCGTTATATACCTGTAATATTTCTGATATCCAGTGTTGGGTAAGTTACTTTAAAAATGTTATCCGTTACAGTTACAAGTTACCTTGTTTAAAATGTAATTGTAGTGTAACTTTTTCGATCACTTTTAAAAAGTAATGTAACTATTTACTTTTGATTACTTTTTGATTACTTTAAGGTTTTAATGAGATACTTTTTACAATGAGTATCGTATCGGGATACAACATTTTAGTATCGATACTTTTTTAAGTATCGATACTTTTGACAACCCTAGTCTGAAATGTAGGACATGTCCGGGAAAAAGAGGACATCTGGTCACCCTACAGTTGGGTAGGCTAGGTAGTCTGGGCTAGGCTAGGCTAGGTCATAGACATCGATAAACGTTTGTCATGCATCAACACCAAACAGTCAAATATTAGTAAATCAATACGCTTCGTCTATCAGTGAGTTGCATATTTCGCAAAGGTTTTTCTTTATATTTAAAAAAAAATGTAACTAAATTGGTAATTCTTAATATTTTCTGAAGTAACTCTAACTCAATTACATATTTTTACGAATTACAGTTACTCTTTTTTTGTAATTAAATTACGTAACGTCGTTACATGTAATCCGTTACTCCCCAACACTGCTGATATCTTTAAGAAACAGATATCAGATATCAGCCTCTTTGAAGCTCTTCTTCACTCCCCTTTCTGTCGTCTCTTTTAGGTTCATGCCTTCCTTTCTGCGACTGGGCTCCTGGAACATCGTGATGTTCGTGACGTACGAGCAAATGAAAAGAGGAATGACCAGAGCGCAGCAGTACTGGGAGTCCCCATTCTGAGGTCCAGAGAAAAAGGCACCTTGACTAGTAGCACAATGCAGCACAATGCGTGGCGAGAAAAGGAGATAAAAGTGAGGGCTGGAATAGCTGGGTTTATGGCTGAGTTGGCCATGGTCCCACTACTGAAGAGACATGAGGCAAGATGACATTGTGAATGATTCAAAAAGGAGAGCAAAGAGACATTTTATGAACTATTAACATTATTGTTTCCTTGATTAAACCTCCTCTACCTATAAAAGACGGCATGCTCATATGTATGGTTTAATCTTGATCATCTTGATGTTCGATGATGTTTATTTAACAGACTTTCATGTTAACAGGATGAACAGAAAAATGACAGGAAGCATGTGTTGTTATAATAACTGTTGGTGTTAAAAGGCGGTTTTCCTTCGGAAACAGTGAGCCTGTCAGCTGAATTGAGGCTTTCCATCAATCTGTATTATGTATTGTTTACACTGTATTCATGTTTTTGTGGTATGTAGTCACGGGTTTATACAGCTAGCTGAATGTCTGCACTTATTGTTGTAAATAGTATGACTTGTTGCTGGTCGGTGAGTCAGAATATGTTGCACACAACCGAAATCAATGCTGCAATCCAGAAATAAAGCAGCACTTTTTCCATTTTTGTGTCAAACGTGATTTTTTTCTTTAATTTGTTATGTGTCATTAATCTTTCATTGGAACGGTCTGTAATTACCAAAATCCTAACGCAAAGGAAACAAATGATTCAATCTTTCAAGTCAGATCTCTCAGTTTATTTGGAATAATATCTCTTCTTTTTTTTTTTAAAGGAATACTATTCACTATGTGCTGTACCTTGAGGTAGAAATCACCATTTTGAACTCATTCTGAAGAGAAAATGTGAGAATTAAAGAGACTCCTGCATCCTGGTAATGAAGGGCTTCAGTGATACAGCTTTAGGTCATTTTTTTGTGTGATTATTCGTGGTGTAGTCTAAAGAGTCCCGAAATACCAACGAGATAAGCCGTAGATACAAAAGGATTCAGCCCCCGGATGCTTTTTAACACCTCAGCAGACGGTGCTCTTTTAGCCGAGCTCGGCACTTCTGTCAGACGGAAGAAAAAAAGCAGACTTTTTTCCTTACTGCCCAAAAAGAAAAAAGCAGTATGATTTGCAGATACACCTGCTTCTTGCTCTGCTTTTGCAACCGGGTTATGGTCAGATTTGCAGAAGCAATGTAGGACAACGTGTTCCCAAGGCCCCGAGTCATAACAGAGCTCTTTACAGGCCGCAGATATATCGTGTATCCTCTTTCTAAATTTGCCAAACTGCAACTAATCGTTCGGGCCCGCCTCGCCTTGCAGAGGCACAGTTGCCCCACAGTTGTTCCAAATGCCACGGTTCAAACGCACAATGGCCGATCAATTATTAAAAGCAACATTAGCCCGCATGATTAATTCAGGTGCGGCTGTGCGACGAGACTCAAACCAGGAAATCAAACCAGGAGAAAAAGAGCCCGGTTTGACTAAATGTTGGTGGTGAGGTGATTACAGCTCTGAACATGTGGCTCTAATCTAGTGTGCAGTGTACTCTGTGTTCTTGTATGTTCAGCATGACTCAGCATCTATTCTGACAAAAGCATGGCAGACCCTTTCCCAAAAGAACTTTTTGATATAGAAAAAATCCCATTTGATTGGCTTTTTTTAATCTCCATCCAATTAACAGGAAAGGCTTTATTTTATTGCTGCTTTTGTGACGCTAAATAAGAGGAGAAGCTTGATGATTAAGTCCGAAAAACGGAGGGAAAACGTGATCCAAACCATGTGCTGAGACACAATGCCAAGTACGATGGCAGACCACCCTCTGCCCACTGTTGCAGTTATTGTTAGGCTGAGTGAGGGTCCCATAAAGGGAACACACGCTGGGCCGTGATGTAACGGCACCATGGCAGTATTTAAGGAGCCAACTCCCCCCCACACACACACTACTGCAATCTGACCATTCATCACGCAACATCCAGCGGTCGCCTCGGATACTTTCCCTCAAACAGACAAATTTAAATCACCACGAAAAAAACTTTTTTTTTCAATTTCACGCCTTCTGGGACCTCATTTCCAGCATTTGGAGTATGATTTTAAGACTCTCACCTTCTGAAAGATCTTCTATGGAAAAACAAGGAAATCATTTCAAAACTGGGACCAAGTTCAGCCAAAGAGACACCTTTAGAGAAATCTTGATCTTTAATATTCTTTTCCATAACTGTTCCAGTAAAGGTGAGACTTTCTATGTTAAGTTTTGGGTTTAAAAAAAGTGGAATTAAACAAATGAGTGTCAGGTTTGGTTGATATCTGCAGGGATGCATTTTTCTCATAAAATGGAATATGTATTTGTTCTATTTTTCAGATTTCGGGGAGGCTTTTTGCTCCGTCCAAGTAAAATAGGCCACTTTTTAATGTTCATATAGATAAGAAAACAAAGAAACTTTGTGACGATGGTTGGACTGAGACCCTCAGACGTGCCTCCATCGGCTGCTGTGAAGTTTGTGGGAGCTGGAACTGCAGCCTGCATCGCTGACCTGGTCACCTTTCCACTGGACACCGCCAAAGTGCGGCTCCAGGTAAACCAAACCTAAGTCATTTCCTTCAAATTCATCAGATATATTAACTAATATGTGCACTAACTCCATAATGTGCCAAATGTGCCGTATTTGATACCTACAGTATCTGAAATGTTTGATACATAAAAGTATCTGGGACCTTTTGCATCATTTAGTTGTAAAAACCCTGCTCATAACTCTGTTTTACACAATCAGATAGACCTGATAACAAGCAGAAAACTACATGACAATAATTTTGACTTATTGCACAGTAATACATTTTGAATATTCAAAAATGACCAAATAAAGACTTCCAAAAGAAGTTCTGAATTATTTCATGGATCAGGCTTTAAAGGTTTTTTGCACTTTTTGCATCATTCAGTGGTAAAAGTTTTGCTCAAACCCCTGTTGCACACAGCCAGTAGAAAACTACACAAAAATATATTTTTGACTTATGGCAGGCTAATTTGATCAAAATTATTTCTCTTTTTTTCTTCATATGTTGTTTGAGCCAAAGAAAGACTTCAGGCTAAAAAAATCCAATATTCTTCCTATTTTTCTTGGATCAGGCTTTAAAAGGTTAAACCATCTCCCCTGTAACCTGGATTACTTTCACGTTCCGCATAGATCCAGGGAGAGGCCAGAGCCTCGGCAGCGGCGGGAAACCCCACCAAGTATCGTGGGGTTTTCGGCACCATCCTGACCATGATCCGCACAGAGGGGCCCCTGAGCCTGTACAGCGGGCTGGTGGCCGGCCTCCAGCGCCAGATGAGCTTCGCCTCGGTCCGAATCGGCCTCTACGACTCCGTCAAACAGCTCTACACCAGAGGATCCGACCGTGAGTATCAGCCTCTGGGTCTTTTGGGGTCCTTTGGAGGTCCTTTGGGGTTCTTTGGGGTCCTTTGGGGTCCTTTGGAGGTCCTTTGGGGGTCCTTTGGGGGTCGTTTGGGGTCCTATGGGGTCTTTTTGGGTC